AACTACTTTCACAGAAGTTATGTATGCTAATGGCATTAACATGTCCAGAAAGAAGTTCCATAATGGCTTCCTTAGATGTAAGATATATGCGCAAATATCCTGAAGCCCCTCATCGGACAATACACAGGATTTGCTATTTCTAGGGCTCAAGAAACCACATAAGCCGGTTACATCGGCTACTCTCTCACGTCGGCTCAAAGATGTCCTTTATCAGGCAAGGATTGCAGAAAACATATTTAAAGGACACTCGGTACGAGGCGCATCGACATCAGCAGCAAAGCAAGCCGGCCTGGATATCGCTACAATATTGTCGATGGCCGACTGGACGAACACGACAACATTTGATAAATTTTATTATAGACCATCTCTTCCTATTACGTTTGGGACATAAATAAATAAATGAATGAATAAAAATAAATAAATGGGAGTATAAATAAATAAGTTTTTTTTGCCTTTTTGTTGGTCTTATAGAATTGTTGTTCGTCTGCTTTACAATCTACCAATTGTATTCGATACATTTCGACCGGATTAAATTATACTGATTTAAATTATACCAGCGCAGCGAAGCGGCGCGCCCGCATATTATGATGATACGGGCGCGCCGCGAAGCGGCGCTGGTAAAATTTAAATTAAAATTGTTTCTGAAGAAGGGCGCTTTCCTTTATATGGAAGACCAGATCGGTCTTGTGGTACTTCAGTACAGAAAGACTACTGGTATTTTACAGTGTTTCAAGAGCTCTGCATTCAAGTATATCGTTGTTTACATCTGCCTAGCATGAAAAATGGAGTTTACCGCTATATTCTTAACGAAATACTCTATTACAATTCTAAATATGCCGCCTACGACTAAAAGACTATCTATCTACATTATTAGGACCAATGTGGGCCTGAACGGCTGAAGGATCTAAATTGCGAGTGGAATTGATCCAAATTTGCAGTCCTTTGATACTGCTCGAGTAGAAGCTGACCTACTAATAATAAACTTGACATTCGCAAAAATTTAGTTTGCTGTCGGTACGCCCGAAAAAAATATGTAACGTTAAAATGTCAGACTATTAAGGCCGACACAGACAGGACGCGATGCGGCAACGCGACGCGAATTTTGAGTTTTCATCTAAAATTCTGGAAGTAAAATTTGGAAACTATGGACGCTAGAGCAGTCAAAATGTTTTATTGTTATGTAATCTACAAGAATATTATGATAGTTTAAAATTTATTTGATTTTGAAAAATTAAAAACGTTGAAAATTCGCGCCGCGTTGCCGCACGCGTCCGGTCTGTGTCGACCTTTACTCCGGCGCCAGCGACGGAGTTGAAAATTCGCCTCGGTTTTGTTTTTGTTCTTTTTTTTTCATTTTTCGTCGTCGCAAGTGTGCAATGGCGCAGGTAATGGCGCGAAATATAGTAGTATTTGAAATGTGTGTGTGGCCGTATTTATCTTCGTCCCAGTTTTGTCTCCCAAGAGTTGTGGTGCACAGCTTTGGCTAATTTTCCGATGCGCGATTCGATTTCGCTCGCATGATACGGCAATTCCTCCAAGGGGGTCAAATAAACCGTTCTTTTCATGCTGTTCGATTAAGTTTAGATTGAATTGGGGTAAGAATATATTTAATACATGTAGATTCTGGTCTAATTTTAAAAATATCGCTGCTATTTCGCCGTTTAACAAGATGTGGTCGTGTATGGGCGCGTTGACACGTAGTTTGCACAGGATTGAAGATTTAATATAACTATATAAGCGCGAATTCCAAAGGCAAAGTGTAAGACAAAATGTATCATGCGGTTTATTTACATTTTTCAACAGTTGAACTTCTATACTTTTTAAAGTACGATGTGCCTCTCAATTTCGCGATCGAACATTTAGGTTCGTTAAGGCATCTAAATGAATTTGAACTGTATTGTTTATGTTCAGAAGCTTTATATTGAAGACTGCCACGTGCGCCGGAGTTAACGCCAGAACAGGGATCTTGTTAATATAAAGATCTTATTTCAATATAAAGATCAAAGTCAAAGAAGCAAAACACGTATACGCGGGCAATAATTAAAGCCGGATAAAACCTACAAATACGATTTTCACAATGGCATGAAGGCATGGCTTCACTGGCGCTGTTGTATATTGGTTTAACAGCTATTAAAGTTGTACTCCTACTGTCCTACAAGCATACTGTCATCAGTACTCATACGAAAATACTTCAGGAAGTTTATATAAAAATATATCATAATCGAGAAAAGATGTATGCTAAAAACCTGTGAATTTAATAGCATGGATTTTACAAACTGAACAATATGCTGTATATTTAGGCCAATATTCGTTTGGCTTTCGTTTTTAATTTGCACTAGATTACTGATGATAAGATATAGAGATGTTTAGCCGCAGATGGCTAAAACAAACAATACCTTAACACATTTACAATATTAAAATTTACCTTATTCAAGTAGGAACTGATGTGGTATTGCTTTAGAAACCAGTTAAAAGTAGCGGTGAACTGCGTGAATCAGACTCAATCAGTCCAAGTATGATCAGAGCGCCTCTTTGTCAATTCGGGGAAAAACCCTCAACATTTCAATGGAAACTGGAAAAGTCAACAATACATCCGGCACTCTCCATTTCCTGTATATAGTTAATTAACTTAGGCTCTGGAAGTCGGTATGATTATATATATCAAGAATTATATTTTGAGAGTTTTAAAACATTGCTTTAAAAGTATCATTTACCTAATACGGAAAGTACCAACTGTAAAATGAAAATCGATAGGCGAAAAAAAAGTGACAAGTCAAGATATGATGGTTGACTTGAGTCCACTCCATCTCCCGCCATCGACTGGGCCTTTTCCCGCCATTTCAGTCATTTTGTTTTTGCGAGGGATATATTTGGAATAAAAAAATTCATTTAAATGTGTTACTCGCGCCATTTTGAATTAAGAATTTTAAAAAAAATTTTGTGCTAGTCCTCTCCCGCGCGTTCAAACCGGAAACGTCCAAGAATGCAAGACGCTCTAAGGAAACTAGGGACTAGTCTGAGACAATCGTGCGTGCATTGAGGCCTAGGGTCTAGGCTGTCGCGCAGTAAAGGACTGGGTACGAATTTAACCATCATTTTTTTCTCGCCTATCGATTTTCATTTTGCAGTTGGCACTTTCCGTATTAGGTAAATGATACTTTTAACGCAATGTTTTAGAACTTTCAATATATGATTTTTTTCTTGACCAGTATTTTTTCTTTCTCTACCATTAAAACTTTTCTGGACCCGTTTCATAATTGAATAGCAAAACCCTAAATCTCACCTGTTATTTATTTAATTTCAACAAACATTTTTCATTAATTAATACTTTAGACACGTTTGGCATGCCATAATTAGGCTCTCAGGCACTGATTTATAGCTAATATAACTAATGTATACTACTATATAACTAATGTGATGAGGCCAAAGGTTCGACTAGGGTTTGAGGCCAAAGGTTCGGCGCAGGTAAGTTTGCTTACTATACGGGGATTATTGTGGTAATTCATTAATCGAGTTTGACTTTGAGCAATAATTATGAAATAACAAGACGCCTGTTGTGATGTTAACGTGCTGTAAGTTGACGAACTGGTGAAGATACTCGTGGCTATACTTTTCAGGCTTCGATATCCTGGTAAATTGATGTCGTTGCCAGTAATTTTATTTCACTTATGTACTTGTTCAGCCAGTTCAAGATTGAAAACCTAAAGACAAGATTGAAAACCTAAAAATCATATCATTTTTTTTGTAGTGAGAGGCTTTTATTGTAAGAGGTTCAAAATTTTCAAAATTATTCCATGAATTGTAAATGCACATGCTCTATCGGCATTAGGTATACCAGAAAAATTCTAGCATGAGTACACCATCGAAGTCAGTAACAATTAATACAGTGTTGAATTCGAGGTGAGTGGAATTGGTAATTTGCCTTTTAAATACCAGAATAGCCTCCCCACGCAACTGGATAGAAAGTTCTCTCAGTCGTTCAAAAATAGAAACACATTTTACCTCAAAAACAGTAAAAAAAATTGCTAAGATGTTTAATCTCTGAAAAGCGTGTTCACTCGTGCTCGATCTAGTTCCTCGATATCATAGGACTATGGTAACACTACCGCTATGGTTTCTCGATATCACTATATTGTTTTAGCATTTTTGTAAAAGTGAATATACTAAATCCTACATATTGATTGAGCAAATTTGACGCATTATGCTGTTATATTTACCTTCGCCTTCGGGTGAATATAACAAAACGGAAATTGCAGTTGACGTTTCTTACAAAGAGATGAGCAAGACAAGAAAGTGCCGTCGCCAAAAACACAAAAGATGCGACAAAATTTGCATTGAACCTTTTTCGAGGTATGATTTTTTATATTTACACTATCCAAAATGATACATTCAAAAATTCAAAACTTTATAGTACGAAGAGTAGTGGCTTTACCGGTTTACAATTTGTCAAAAATATTTTTGAAAAGAATGGTATGCAAAACAAAGCAAATTCACCTGTGTTTTTGAAGATATGGGCATACGTAGAGACGAATGACCTGCTGTAAATGAACGCGATTGGACGTTGAACGTTTGTTGCACGCTTTAATGCAAATTGTAATTTAATCACATGGTGTACGTGCGTTTCCGTCGCCCTGTAGTGCAATTCACTTGTGCAAAAACACTAAAACGAGCCTTATGTGAGAGATAGGATTTAAGGGTGACGTCACGAGAAGGAAAACGCATGGAATATTAATGAGAGAGAAGCGGGAAAATTTTGTCGAGAAAAAGTGTTGTAAAATATATATGTTTGTAGCCGTGTCATAATAAATCGTTGTGTTAAGAAGAAAGGAGTCTGAACCAGCTAAATCTATGAGACGAGTCTAAAGGGGAAAGGAATTATTCCCTAATATCTTACATGGTCCTTCGAACCGGATTTTATAACGTGAATTTCGAGTTTAATTCTGGAATCTGAGACGCCATATTTGTATTGTGACTTTCAATACACGATATTATTCTAAATAATGGCTGAAACTGAAGCTTTAAATCGAAAGAAGAGATGTAGAAACGGACATAGATCATCTACGAAACGGGTAATATCATCTGTTAAAGAATGTCTGATGAGTGTGACGGAGAAGTCGCAACTAACACCACATATAGCGAAGTTAACACAACAGAGAACGACTCTCGAAACGAAGCTACAAGTTCTTCAAGAGCTAGACAAAGATATCTTGGCGTTGGTAAGTGACGAGGATATAGAATTAGAGATAGAACAAGCGGACATTATGCAAGAAAATATTCAATCTACTGTTATTGAAATCAATATGTGTTTGGAGGAGCATAAACTGTTTATTGACTTTGTTACTGCTAGCGCTACAAACGTGGCCACTGAAAGCAATTTGGCACAATCCTCGGTAGTAATCCCACCTGAAAATAACTTAGAAGCACCTGTGTCTACTGATTCTGCTGTATCTACATCTAGCAATACTAATGTACCACAGAGTAACAGCACTACACCTACTCAAACTGCACCTGATACTGCAAGTACACCAGGCAACCAAACGAACATGCCCACAGTAAAATTGCCAAAGCTAAATCTGAAACGATTCCGGGGCGACCCTACAGCATGGTCTACATTTTGGGATATGTTTGAGTCGTCAGTCCACAACAATCCTACCTTGTCAAGCATTGATAAGTTCAACTATCTTTCCTCATTACTTGAGAGCACAGCAGCAGATTCAATTGCAGGATTAACATTAACAAACGCAAATTATGAAGAAGCAATCAACATACTTAAGAAACGTTTTGGAAACAAGCAGCTTGCAATTAACAAACACATGAACACTCTGCTAAACCTTGACCCAGTCACCTCTAACCACAACCTGAAGGGACTTAGGACACTCTATGACACTGTAGAATCACATATTAGAGCTCTGAATTCCCTGGGTGTACATCCAAGTTCGTATGGTAACCTTTTATGCTCTATGTTAATGAATAAGATACCTCAGGAGTTACGCATAAGAGTTAGTCGAGAAGTAAAGGAGGACATTTGGGACTTGGAACACTTACTGAAATTGATTGGAGATGACATAGAGGCTCGAGAAAGAGCATGTGGCAATACTACTAATGATAAGCTGCCACACAATCCGTTTAAGGGTCATGGGAAACCACCTTCGGCAGCAGCCCTACATACAGGGGGGACACCGCCATCATGCACTTACTGTCAACAGCAGCACACCTCCAACAGCTGCACCACAGTTTCCAATATCACTGCACGAGTTGAGATATTAAAGAAGAGTGGTCGATGTTTCCTGTGCTTGAAAAAAAACCATTTGAGTCGGGATTGTAATTCAAAGTCAAGATGTTACAAATGCAGTGGTAAACATCACATCAGTATATGCACTAAAAATTCTAACGAGAAACACCAGAACCCTCCTGCAAACATAGAACCTAGAGAGCAATCAGGAAAACCTCCAAAACCCAAGGGACAAACTCCACCAAACCCACAAGCAACAAGTGGCACACAAACATTATTTGTGAGCTCGAAGACCCCGGTACTCCTCCAAACAGCCCAAGCAACCATACTTCCTACAACAATGAAGAGCAAAGGGGCTAACGTGAGGTTAATACTAGATAGCGGAAGCCAACGATCGTACATCACAAGTCGGGCACGAGATTCACTGCGCCTACCTACCGAACACACCGAGACAATGTTAATCAAAACGTTTGGCTCAGAAGAAGAGAAGTTAACCACCTGTGATTCTGTCAACTTTATCCTAGAAAGTCACCATGATCAAACAAAATTGTCATTGTCAGCCTTTGTTGTGCCGAAAATATGTGAACCATTGCAACACCAACTCACCCTGCAAGCCCACCAGAGTTACCGCCACCTAAATGATTTAGTACTCGCAGACCGCTCAATGGGAGAACAGGACTCTGAAGTTGACATTCTTATCGGATGTGATCAATATTGGCAAATTGTAACTGGGGAGGTTCGAAGTGGCATGCATGGTCCAACAGCTATCAACACCATCTTGGGATGGGTACTTTCTGGACCAGTTGAGAATCACCAACAATCATCTACGGACCATTCTGTTAATGTGTCCACCACACATGTCTTAAGACTTGGTACATCGTCATGCCAACTGAATGTGCTGAATGAAGGTACAGATCGAGAATTGCGAAGATTCTGGGATTTAGAGTCACTTGGGATATCAAGGGAAGAGAAGTCGGTCGCTGAAGACTTCACGAGCACCATAGCCTTCAAGGAAGGAAGATATGAGGTAAAATTACCCTGGAAGGAACAGCATCAGATACTACCAGACAATTATGAGATGAGCTGTAAGCGCTTGAAGAACTTGGTGGAACGTTTGCAACGTGAGCCAGAGATTCTAAGGGAGTATGATACGGTAATAAAGAACCAACTTAGTAAGGGCATTGTGGAGACTGTCAATAAGGAAGACGTCGGAGAAGTTGGAAGAGTCCATTATATTCCTCATCATGCTGTGATCAGGCGCGACAAGGAAACAACCAAGTTGAGAATAGTCTATGACGCGTCGGCCAAAACATCGGGTCCCTCCCTTAATGATTGCCTATATACAGGACCTACAATGACTCAGAACATTATGGATATAATTCTTAGATTCAGAAGTCACAAGGTCGCATTTACAAGTGATATCGAGAAGGCATTTCTCATGATCGCAGTTTCCGAAGCGGACAGAGACGTCCTACGATTTTTGTGGTTTGATGATGTATGGAGCGAACAACCTGAGATTATCATTTTGAGATTTACACGCGTGGTCTTCGGAGTATCATCCAGCCCATTCTTGCTCAATGCTACTATAAACCATCATATCGAACAGTATCGAGCTCAAGATCCTGCCTTTGTAGAACGGTTCTTGCGGTCTATTTATGTAGATGACCTCAACTCGGGAGGAAATAATGATTATTCTGCCTATACACTTTACAAGAAATCAAGGCTCAGACTCGCAGAAGGCGGATTCAACCTTCGAAAATTTGTAACCAATTCACCTGAGTTGATGAAGAAGATCGAAGGTGAAGAGGAGCTACCGGCTGTTGGTAAGCCAAAATCCGACTCCCAGTTAGACAAGTTAGCACCTGAAGCTGTGAATGAAGAAAACGAAACTTATGCAAGGATTACACTTGGAGCAGCCAGTGAATCTTCAAAGGAAGAGCGAAAAATTATTGGAGTTACTTGGAACTATGCGGAAGATAACATTGTATTCGACATTAGTAATGTGGCTGAATTGGCTGCAAAGTGTAAACCAACAAAAAGGAACATTGTACGTCTTTCGGCAAAATTCTATGATCCGCTGGGGTTCATGTCACCAATAACAATCCAATTCAAGATTTTGTTCCAGGAACTGTGTGAAGGAAAGGTTACATGGGATGATGAAATTCCACAAGACATCAAGGTAAAGTGGAACAAATTGGTAACGGAGCTCCAACGAATGAATCGAATTGTTCTATCACGATGCTATTTTCGACATGTGAGCCATCCAGTTCTTTCATGCACCATTCATGGGTTCTGCGACGCCTCGAAGTCGGCATACGCAGCAGTGACGTATTTGGTAGTAAACACCGCGATCGGCGCGCACGTGAGATTTCTCGCAGCTAAGACGAGAGTGGCCCCACTCGAAGTCCAATCCATTCCTAGATTAGAACTGCTATCTTGTTTGATCTTAGCTCGATTGGTGAAGAATGTTCAGGAAGCATTACGCGAAGAAATTAATTTGGAGGAACCAATATACTGGACAGATTCAAAGGTAGCCCAGTTTTGGATTACGAACGATAAAGAATGGAAGCAATTCGTACAGAATAGGGTCATGGAGATACGGAGCCTTACATCTGCAAATGCTTGGAGACACTGTCCTGGGCGAGATAATCCTGCAGATATTCCATCAAGGGGAATTAAACCTACGGAACTAGAGACCAGTAAATTATGGAGCAGCGGTCCTGAGTGGTTAACAGAGCCACAGGCGTATTCTCACCAAGTGAATGCAGAGGTTGTCCCACCGGAAGAATGTCTAGTGGAGAGTCGATCAACTAAAGGGAAAGCCGTAAGCTTGGTAGTTAATGTTACAACACGAGCACTCAACAATATCATCAAGATAGAGGACTTTGGATCCCTCGCCAGACTCTTGCACGTTACCGCATATGTTCTGCGTTTTGTAAGGGAAACGAAGGCGGCAGTCACGGGAGATGGCAAACCTGTAGAGCCCACCCTAACGGCGGAAGAAATCGAATCAGCCAAACTTCTTTGGGTTCGAGAGATGCAACGCCACCTACCTGAGAAAAGAGAATTTGATCAATTGAAGGCACAGTTTGGTCTCTACACTGATGATGAAGGTATATGGAGATGTGGGGGCAGATTAGAACGGGCGAACTTGCCTCCATCAACGCGACACCCAATCCTGTTGGACAAGGATCATTATCTCGCATCATTGATTGTTTACAGTAGCCATAGAAGAGTTATGCACAATGGCGTTAAGGAAACGTTGACTGAAATAAGATCACAGTACTGGATTGTCCGCGGAAGACAATTTGTGCGTAAATTGCTTGGACGATGTTCGATCTGTCGAAGATTTGAAGGCAAGCCGTATCAAGCTCCACCAACCCCTCCACTACCAGAATTTCGAATGAAGGAAGCTCCACCCTTTACGGCAACAGGAGTCGATTTCCTTGGTCCAATGTACGTAAGAATGTGTGAAAATAGTCAGAAGGTTTGGATTTGTCTGTATACATGTTGTGTGATCAGAGCGGTGCACTTGGACATCGTACCAAATCTTACTTCGGAGAGTTTCATGAGAAGTTTTAGGAGATTTACAGCCAGAAGAGGAATTCCCACGACCATCGTGTCTGATAACGGAGGAACATTCAAATCGGCATCGCGTGAGATAAGGGACATTTTAAGACATCCTGATGTGAAACGTTTCTTCACCGGAATGAAAGTTACATGGTCATTCAACTTAGCGAAGGCACCCTGGTGGGGTGGACTCTTCGAGAGACTTGTAAAATCTACCAAGCGATGTCTGAAGAAGACCATAGGGGGAGCACGACTTACTTATGAAGAGCTCCTTACTGTTGTTGCGGAGGTTGAAATGATACTGAATTCCCGCCCCTTATCCTATGTATCCACCGAAGATCTTGAAGAACCGCTCACTCCCTCACACCTGTTGACGGGACGGCGATTGCTCAGTTTACCAGACAAGGATAGCACCAGTGATATAGCAGATCAAGACTTTTCTTTAGACGAGAAGGAGCTGTCGCGAAGAATGAAGCATCTTAGCACGTTAATGAATCATTTCTGGAAGCGCTGGAGAGAGGAATATCTGGTAGAATTACGAAATGCCCATCGCATTAAACTAACTGGCGGATCTAGAACTATTAGTGTTGGCGACGTGGTCGTGGTCCATGATGAGTCACAGCCTCGAGGACTCTGGAGACTAGCTAAAGTGGATAAGTTGATTATCGGAAATGACGGAAACGCGAGAGGAGCAGTAGTCAAGGTCAGTTCAAAGGGAAAACGACCATCGACGTTAAGAAGACCAGTTCAACTACTTTACCCACTGGAGATCAATGCGGAGATGAAGCATGATGAAACTGAAGTAGATAGACCAGCTGAATCGGTCACTCAGCCTGAAGGTCCACGGGTTAGATCTAGACGTGCGGCCGCAATACGAGCAGACGAACAACGAAGAAATTGGATCAAAGAACTCGAAGAGTAGATAAGTACTCTAACATTTCAGACAGTAGCTTAGACTTGTTGATATTTGAACTACATTCTTTATAAACTTAGTTACGTTTGGTTGACCAGTTAAACTTTGCATGCACTGGTCAACGGGGGGAGTGTGAGAGATAGGATTTAAGGGTGACGTCACGAGAAGGAAAACGCATGGAATATTAATGAGAGAGAAGCGGGAAAATTTTGTCGAGAAAAAGTGTTGTAAAATATATATGTTTGTAGCCGTGTCATAATAAATCGTTGTGTTAAGAAGAAAGGAGTCTGAACCAGCTAAATCTATGAGACGAGTCTAAAGGGGAAAGGAATTATTCCCTAATATCTTACACCTTAGGCTCGGTGATTATCGGGGAATATTCTCCTCGTCTTCGGCGAATAATTGTTAAATGTCAAATGTTTGACGAAAATTTTCAGCAATATCATGTATGAAGAATGTATGCAGTAAATTTGACCAATTCAAATGAATATTATACCTCAAAATAAACCGTGTCAATCACAAAACTTGTTTTATACCACATGACAATGGTATTTTTTAGCGAATACTGTGCCGTGGGCAGCTCGTATGTCTGGATGTTTTCCCCGGGGCGTAGAATTCATAGGATGAACGAAGAATGTCAACCCTGTCATGGGGCTCAATAAAAGGCATCGATCATTCATTGCTAACAATCAACCGAACCTCTGGACTGAGTGATTTGTTTCACGGAGGTTTATAAACACCAGCTAAGTTGATTAAATCTGTTTGGAAATTGGAATTATTTAGCGAACACTGCTTTCTTGCATGTCTGAGCATTTTAACACTGTTCTATATATGCTAGATTCTTTGTTACTAGGTATAGTTTAACCAAAAGACCGACTGTCTGTATAGCTAATCCATAAAGTTGTTATTTCAGAAATTTTTTGAAGGATGTTGATTCCAAATTGCCCAAATTCGTCCCTGTTTTTAGACGAAAACGGAATTTTTGGACCTCCCGAAAAATCTGGCAAAAACAGAGATTTTTATGCTTTGCTAATCGTTAGTATTTTGTCACTGTTAATAATTGCACAGAAAATATTTACGTTCATCATGCAACCTTTCAAGGCGATAGTTGATTTTGAGGTGAATTTTAAACGTGCATGTCACCTCGGCAACGATCTATGCTAAACGTAATGTAATTTGAAAGTAGAGACACACAAAAAAAAAAAATTCCTATTACCTTTAAATATTTTATAGTGTAGTAGTTTAAACACCTCGAAGTGATGAGCACATCCCAGGCGACTATCGTATAGCTTAAAATTGGATGTCGCGGTGTCTGTTGAGACGCTAATAGTGTTAATAGAGCACGAGGGGGTGATTATACATTTTGTAATTATCCACCAGTATTTTATCAATAATATCTTTCCTCAATGTTTTGTAGATGTTAAAATTGTGTGTTATTCACCTAATCAATGCTACCGGGTATTGCAATTGATGCTGGAGGTGAATTAGAGCACGTTTAACCTAAGATATATGCAGTCCTTGATACTTGATCTATGATACATGCAGTTCTTGGTAAGGGATGCGGCAATAAAAATTATCTTTGTCTATTTTAAAAGAACGTCATGATTATGTACAAAATTCTTTTACGGATTTTTGTTAACTTTATTACTTCTCAAGATATTTTTGAATATCTTCATCCGCCATTTTGGATATTAAAGTACAGATTTTTAATTCAGATCTTCGGCAGCAATTTTTCGTTCCGATAATAACTTCTAGTTCAATATAACAAACATACCATACGAATGATACGATACGCCTTTATACTAAGTATAACCTATGGTATGTTTGTTATATTGAACTAGAAGTTCCATACCTCCTGGGCCTAGCTAATACTTAGGCCCAGGAGATATGAGCCTCCCCATTATTTATAGAACAAGACGCCTGTTCTGGCGTTAACTCCGGCGCACGTGCCAGTCTTTAATATAGAGCTTCTGAACATAAACAATACAGTTCATATTCGCATTTAGATACCTTGCGAACCTATAAATGTTCGATCGCGAAATTCAGAAGCACATCGTACTTTAAAAAGTGTAGAAGTTCAATTGTTCAAAAATGTAAATAAACCGCATGATACATTCGCTTTGTCTTACACTTTGCCTTTGGAATTCGCGCTTGTATAGTTATATTAAATCTTCAATCCTGTGCAAACTACGAAGTGTCCACGCGCCCATACACGACCACATCATCTTGTTAAACGGCGAAATAGCAGTGATATTATTAAAATAGGACCAGAATCAACATGTATTAATATATTCTTACCCCAATTTAATCAAAACTTAATCGAACAGCATGAAAACAACGGTTTATTGGTTCCTCTTGGAGGAATTGCCGTATCATGCGAGCGAAATCGAATCGCGCATCGGAAAATTAGCCAAAGCGGTACACCACAACACTTAGGAGATAAGACTGGGACGTAGACAAATACGGTTACATACACATTTTCAGTACTACAATGTTTCGCGCCATTTCAGACTTGCGACGACGAAAAATAAAAAAAAACAAAAACAAAACAAAACCGAGGCGAATTTTCAACTCCGTCGCTGACGCCGGAGTAATAAAGACCAGCGAAACTTCTCGCTTCATCTAATCAACCCATATGCTTCAACTCATATGCTCATCATTTCTTTTCTCGCCCTTCCCGTAGACCTCTTCGCGCCCACGGCACAACCCACTGAGCTATATAACTAACTAGAGCTACAGCTCAGAAAGCAGTGGATATGATAAAGCGACTGGGGACGAGTCTGTGCTCATCATATTTCATGTACCGTAGTATTTGGTAATAAAACTATTATGACTAGAAGTTACTATCGCAAGGGAAGTGCTGGCATCGCAAGTCCACTTATTACATGTTTAAGAAAAACAACAGCTGTTTAAACTAAGTTTTTCTACTCCATAGAGGCTTTCTGGGCTTTTTTTTTTCAAATGAATAATATTGTGAACATTGTCGTGAACAATAGGTGCATTAAGTGTTATAGGTGTCACTACTGTTACAGTAACAATGTTGCGACAACATGTGTTTTTACGCGTGTATTTGATACAGCATTAATTTGCTCCTGCCAGCAGCTTCAAGCGTGCTGAGAGTGAGAGCAGTTGTGAATAGACTCATCAATGTTATTTCCGCCATATTGCCTGCGGCTGCAGGGCAAAAAAAAACTGGGTTTGAGCTGCGCGACCCGCCAATTCAGGCATTTACAGTAAGATTCAATACATATGGCGGTCACAGAATGTTTTCCTTTTTGCCACCATTTCTAACGAAGCACTGTGTTGTTGTGGCCAGACGGGATTTTATTTCAATTAATAATAGTAATACTCAATCTCGTCTCCAGTGTGCCCAGAGCCCGCAATGCTTTGCTTGCAAGTGTGAAAATTGAAGGCTATTATAAGAAGTGGGTGGCGGCTTTTCGGGGCGGTTGTCGTGCGCTTGTCATCACGTGGAAATATAAATCAACACAAATCGTCCTTTGTTGTGACTTCAAGCAAGTTAAACCGCTCAATAAAACGAGTGCTTCGTTAGAAATCGTTAAATTCAGTGTTCACTTGCGGTTAGCCAACGAAGTGGCAAAAACGAAAATTTTCTATGACCGCCATTCGTATTGACTCTTAAAAATCATTGTCATCGGATCAGATGGCATCTTAAAGTGGTTACCTCATTTTAACTTGCGATTTCTGTGTGAATACTTGACCGATTTTAATAAAATAGAACCATTTTAAGGAGAAAATTGTCCTGAGATACATTCTTTTTTTAGATCGATATGTTGCCAATTCGCCATAATATTCACTTGAGTTAAGCGCGTGCTTACTACGTGCTCGGAATGTTGTAGCGCGGTTGGAAAAGGCGACAAAACTCTATGATACCCTCCCCCTAGGGTAAATTTCACCCCAAAAATTGATTTTGGACGTAAAATTGGACCAAGGGGTCAGTTTTCAGCTTTTTTTGCCAGATTTTTTTTTTCGATATTTGTATTATAGTGAAATAGTATTGCCGGTGATGTGATAATTCATATCATCATGCATGTTTATATTAAAAAGTCGGCAAAAATCCTCTAAAGGCTCGATTTTGACGCTAAAGATATCAAAATAATCCTGAGAATGTGAACTAACTGTGGTAACTCACTGTAACCGTTTTAGTTTGTATTTTGCGCAATATTTTATAGATTAGGTGTGCTTTGATATGTAATATTGAATAATAAATAAATCGCATGCATATTAAGCCTGCAGCACACGAGAGTTATCTGCTATCAGCTGAGCTACGAGTTACTCGTGCCTGTTAGCGCAGCCGACAGCTCACTGTGTGCGGATAGATTTTTCTGAGTTTTCCGCCACATGCAACCTTTTCTCGCATATCAAGCATGTTTGATACTATTTAAATCGTCTTTTCAAGCTCTATCGTTTGGCGGTATTTCGGGGTCTTTAGCCCAAATACTTGCCGAGATATTTAGTTTTCTTTCTTCCCGTCAATACCGGCGCGGCTCGAAGCCAGTTTTTTTGCCCTGCAGGCAGCAATATGACGGAAATAACCTTGCAGGGGTTCGCAGACGCAGGTAACTTCCATATATAGAACGTATACCATATATGGTTTTCGCCAGAATGAATGACAAAAATCGAGATTTCGCCTCAATATACGTGCCCAGACTCCGAGGCGTACGCGGCCAATCTTCAGATTAGTGTACTGGCTCGCTGCGCTCGCCAGCAATAAATCATATTATGTTAAATACATTTTACTCGTAATTTCAAGCCTTTTCATTAATTCATCAATCATAGTCCCTTAAAGATCAAGTTATTGCCATTCGGGATTTTAAAGCGCTCGAAGAGTCGAAATATACGGTGGCCGATACGTGTCACCACATTAATATTTACAAGAACACATTACAAAGTTAGAAAACACATTCACATATCAAAATTCTCGTTACACATTTCCAAATTCTCACTACACATTTCCAAATTCTCCCTACACATTTCAAAATTCTCAC